ATCATCAGCTCATTAGCAGAGGCTGAAAGACCTGTAATGGGTGTGACAGACAAAGGAGACATCTAAAACATGCAGTGTTGGTGGTGCTCCAGGAACATGGTTGAGAAACACTTTAGACTACATCGGCACCAAACTGACTGACTAAAATAATAGTTTCAAGCAATAATTGTTACTGGCACAACCATGTTTTAATAAAAACACACTGTTTTCCCTACATAAAAATCCAGCTTAAACCAGCCTAGGCTGGTTGGCTGGTTTTAGCTGGTCAACCAGCCTGGTTTTAGAGGGTTTTTTGCCATTTCCAGGCTGGTTTCTAGCCATTTCCAGCCTGGTCTTAGCTAGTAAGGCTGGGAGATGACCAACTAAAACCAGCTTGACCAGCCTAGCCAGGCTGGGAGTCCAGAACAACCAGCTATGTCCAGCTTAAACCAGGTTAGTCAACCAGCTAAAACCAGCCAACCAGCCTAGGCTGGTTTAAGCTGGATTTTTCAGCAGGGTTACTTTAATTATCGCTTTGCTACTTTAATTATTAACAATATTGCTAATATTATTACTATTTGTTATTATTATTATTATCGCTTGACTTACCTATGTAGTATATATTACTTCATACACTGTATCCATACATTTATATGCTCCCATTGTGCTATATATATATATATATATATGTATATATATATATATATATATATATATATGTATATATATATATATATATATATACACACACACACACACACACACACACTGCTGTTCCATTTGAAGAAGTACCCGACTTGTGTCCTTGCGTCCTCTGTAGTTCGTTCTTCTAAGTGTGAACTTAGCAAGTCTGAACTTCTAAGGACGCAAGTCTGAACTTTGCATACTTGGTATTAAGAAACAGCCAGGGTTTTTTTTTTCAGTACACATTTTGTTTTTATTCAAAGTGCCCTTTGTATGAACATTTAACTGTTATGTATTGTGTGGCTCCAAAAATATATTAATATTATTTATTATAAATATTGCTATTTCAGATAATGTGGTGGTTTAGTGCTCTGTTCATCTTCATTTCTCAACGCTAACCTGCTTCTTCTTTTAGCTCATATGGTAGAGGGAGCGGACGGGCCCAACATTTTCCAGCAGTTTATTGACTCCTATCAAGTGATGTTCTTCACTTTATTCGCTCTTTTGGCTGCCACTGCTGTCGTCATCATCGGTAAATACTTCCACATCAAGCACAACACTTAGAGGGTTCAGTGCAATCAAAATAACACTTTTTAGTATCAGTATTTTAGTCTTTAGGGATATCTATAAGCCGATGTGGTACAGAACAATCACAAACTTCATGATTAGAAGATATAAAACCGATGTACACATGTAAAGCTTGCAGTCCGCCTAAATGGATCAACGTTTTTTTCTTGACCAATCAAACGCTCTCTGGTATCTGACATGCCCCGCCCCCTTCAAGATGCTTTTTATTTGAGGGGCTTGAGCTCAACTACTCTCACTGGCAGAGCGGTGATAACACAAAACGCTATTGGCTGTTTTTTAAAAGAGGGGAAGAGCTACACTATGCTCCGCCCTCTCTTCGTTTTTCAGTTGAGATTGTCAAACCTTGAATAAAACATGTTTCAAAGCACTTCACAGGACTTTAAGGATAACATTGCATTTCTTACTTTTTTCTTAATTAAAACGATTTCTACATTTTACTTAAAATAATCTGAAATACAGTCTGGTTTAAACGTGTACACTCAAATGAGGTAAAGGTTGAGAAAATGGAGTTTCTTGCGTATCTCCATGTGATTACCAGCAATTGCCACAAGCCTTTTTCTTTCAAATTTAGTATAAATAATATTGATAATAAGTTAGGCCATTCTACACAGTAAGTGCCCTTGAATTTAAATGAGAGCAAAGCTTAATCATGAGAATCGAGATGGACAAGAATTGCCAAATTTCATAGACTTTTGGAAGTGATTGCATTCACTATGAATCAAACAAAATTAACCCCTGTGTGCTGTTGGGGATGTTTTCATCCACTTTGGGGTGATTTTGAGTCTAAATTTGGTCACAACTTTCTCTGTTATTCAGCAAATGAGGTGATTTTTGTGACATATTGGGCTCTGTTTTAATGATCCATGCGCAAAGTCCAAAGCGCAGGGAACAAAAGCATTAGGGGCTTGTCTGAATCCACTTTTGCTATTTTAAGGACGGAAAAATCCGCTTTGTGCCGTGGCGCATGGTCTAAAAGGGTTGAGTTTATTCTCTTAATGAGCTATAGGTGTGTTTTGAGAATAAACCAATCAGAGTCAGTTGCATCGCGCCATGGCGGATTTGCTATTTACATGGTGAACTTTGTAAGTGTAAAAACTGAACACTTCACTAGCGAGGAAACAGTTAAACAGAATCTACAGCACCAGAATGAGAGATAAGCCTATTCACTTTTGAAAGTAAAGAATGAGAGAAATAACATCTTTTGAAGTAACCAGTGTATTGCATTATAATTAGCATGGTCTTGTGTGTTAAAGTAGGCATAACAGTTTTTGTATCTTCTATTGTACCCATTCTCTGTGTGTTGCTATAGTTTGCCATGCCTTGTTTTCCCCGAGAGATCCTGTCAATCATCCAGCATTCATCCAGAAGACTCCGCCTCCTGCAGGTACTGTATATGCACCGGTAAAATACCAAATCAGACAGGATTTAGGCGAACACAGCAGCACGGTGATGTGTCTAAATGTGAACGAACTCCACTGATAAAAGACAAAGTCTGCCATTCTCCAATTCTCATACAGCTCTCCCCACAAAAATGCTTGCAGCACACATACAGCTTTGCTGTATTGTCCCTGACATGATCTCAGAGAAAAACCTGCAACAAACCCAGTGGATCATGGAAACAAACACATACGACCCTTCATGAACAGCTAAGTACTGTGTGCCGTGGGTCCGTGGACGCGGTTTCACCCAGTCATCAATATAGGATCTCACAGCTTGGCACTGGCACGTCTGTCTTGCCTTCGGAAAGCACTCGCTGGCATGAATAATTAAGAAGCAGACTCTTCTCACAGGATAAGAAATCTCCGCTATATAAGATATGCTCCCAGATCCGAAATTGTTTTTGGTTGGCAAGCTGGCTCCCTCCAAAGTCCCATCACAAAAAAATCCTTCATTCGCTCCCTCATATAAAAATACATTATACGATGACTGGGTGGAAAAAGCAATTCATAATTTTATAGACATATTTATTGATCAAATATTTCCTGCATTTGAGCAACTACAAAGTGAACACAATTTACCTCGGTACAATTTTTTTAAATATAAAAAAAATATAAAAACCCAAAAATGATAATTTTGCGGACCCTAATAAAAGGGGGGGGGGGGGGTATTTCATAAATATATGGAATGCTCTTCCAATTAACAAACACAGCAACTTTAGAATACCTAAGATTCTCCTGGGAGGCAGATTTAGGTGTTGAAATCACCGACGGGAAATGGGAGATAGCCCTTGAACAAACCCACAGATCATCGGAATGCGCAAGGCACGGCCTCATACAATTTAAAGTAATACATTGTTTACATTGGTCCAAACAAAAACTTAATAAGATATTTCCAGAATTGGACCCTGCATGTAATCGATGTGGGCTAGAACCGGCATCACTGGCTCATTTGTTTTGGAGCTGCCCAAAATTATCATCGTACTGGGAAAATATATTTCTAACATTCTCAAAAATGGGTCAAAAGCCGATAGATCCAGATTCCCGTATAGCAGTTGTAGGCATTACTGATTTCGAGAACAGTACTGAACAAAATATAGTTCCAGTTGTCTGTCTATTAGCATGAAGGTTAATATTATTAAACTGGAAACAGAAAGCCGCTCCTACATATATACATCTTATAAGGGATGTAATGAAACGTATGGAACTGGAGAAAATCAGATTCTCCCTAAAAAAGAAAGAAGAGAAATTCTATAAAATCTGGCAACCTTTCATGGCTTACTTTAAAGACATAAATCCGACAGGAAATAGTCAAATTGAAGAGGATTAGACCAGTTAAGTTTAAAACAGAAGATTATTATTTTATTTTAACCCTTTTTTTAAATATTATTATTTATTATTGTATTTATAATTTGTTTCCTTTTTGTAATTTTAATTTTATTCTATTATAAATATTTTTTTTATTTTATTTATTTTTTTTTTTTTATTATATTAATATATTATCACTATATTAATATATGGATTGTTTGTATATTGCATGCTTGATTGTCAATTATGGTGTGAATGTTTGTTAGACCAAAGTTGTAAGTTCTTGTGCTTTAAAGTAAACAAAAATAATAAAGAAAGTTATAAAAAAAAAAAAAAAAAAGAAAACTCCGCTATAAATAATAAAGAGAAATTGACGCGGTATTATTCACTAGCAGATGCGCACTACATCACTGATTTTGATCCACCGCAATACTCATTTTAAACCCAGAAGCTGAAATTAGCTGACAAAAGTGTTCAATTATCCAGTTTTCCCCACAATTACAGCTAACAGCTAATATTATTGTCTTAACTGATGCTCAACACACACAAATCTGTTGAAGTCTCCAAAAAAAAAACAAAATACTCTGGTTTCTTGAACCTTTAATCACTGCTTATGATTTGCTGTTTTTTTTGTGTCAGGTGTAGCAAAGCTGACTGAAAGCCCCTTCAGCAACAGTGTGAGTTCAGACCTGAAGGGAAGCCCCAGACTGCGCCTGTATTCTCCAGATTACAGCTCTAGATGAGCTCTCTCCAATCTGAAGACTGAATCAAGTGCCTTACTATTGAACGCAGGAGTAAAAGCGTGCAGGAGTACTTCTTACTTGCTTCATATCTTTCTTTTCTGTTTAAATATGTTGGCTGAATGAGGCGTATGTGATTGAATATGGCAGGGCCGTGTGTTGATGTCTTTGCTTATTTAACTGTTTGCTGTGCACTCGTTTTATTGTTATTTTCAGCTTTTTCCCGTAGTTTTCATCGCTCAAGATGGTCTGATTTTTTTACCGATTCGTGTTTTTGTTTGTTTTGAAGCTCAGGACGACCTTTCAGACTTACTGCTCGATTATGTAGCATGTTGTTTTGTGAAAAGTGCAACCACTGATTCCGTCCGAAGTGCTCTTATACAAGCTGTGCAGACATTTAACGGCCAGTCATTTGATTTTTGTGAACGATGTATTGATTCGAAATACTCTGAATAACTCTTTGGAGTTAAGTGCAGCTTCTTTCAGTTGATGATGTGAATGTTAAATGATTAAGGGCTCATTTCTGGTTACGAATTGATTTACGATAATAGTGAATATATATTCTTTGGCTAAAGTAAACGGTCAAGTGGACGACTGTCAACAAAGCTGTTTGCAGTTGAATTGAAGTTTCAGTCCCACAGTAGATATTATTATGACTGTGAGTTTTGCTTTAAGAATATGTGACTTTTTGACTAAATAATAGCCTCGTGAAGCTTTTTGAGTGAGACCGAAGCGCTGTTTAAACAATGTTTTTCTTCGTGTTTGTTTCTTTGTAGGCAAGAGCCATAATGTGACTGCTGCACTGATTGAAATGAGGCGTTGTGAAATCTGTCATAAGCTTTGAGTTGAATCTTTGTAAACGTGTCTCTGCTTATGTCAGTCATACCTCCCTCAGAGAGTTAATAGCTTCTTTCTTTTATTTACAGTCTGCTTATTTTGCAGCATGCTTGTGATCTATAAACAATAAATATGTTTTTTTTTTAAGTATCACCTATAGTCACGCTGGTTTTGACTCTTTCTTGCCTGAAATTTATATATATATATATATATATATATATATATATATATATATATATATTGCAGAATAGGTCCCTTTTAAAACTATTAAGTAAAATATTACTGCAGTGTAACATGTCCTGACCTTCAGCATTTTGCTGCTGTAGGATACAGTATATGCCAGGGTGGGCAAACTCTGTCCTGGAGGGCCGGCCCGGTGTCTTGCGTAGTTTAGCTCCAACACTAATCAAATACACCTGAACATGCTAATCAGTACTGTTTTTATATATATATATATATATATTTATATATATATATATATATATATATATATATATATACATAAAACCGTGTACAAATGAATTAACAACAAAAATTAATCATGTACATTAGGTATTTTTTCCAACAGTTGAGGTGTCTTAATAGCTTTGGTATTACTTTGTATTGAAGGAATTATATATTGTTTTTTAGATCAATGAAGAATAGTTAACAATTTGATACAGTCAGCATACATTTTATTTTGTGGATGTGGTACTTTCCAAATAAAATAGAATTTTTGTTATTTTGTCCATTTCCAATAATCCAGAGTTGCAATCCACAAATACAATAATTTTATCAGTTAAATTGATAAATTCATAAAACACTTCAAAAAGTAGTAAGGAGACTTGGGCCAAAACCGTTTTGTGTTACTGCAACTGAAAAATAAATGATGAGTTGATTCCGGTTCCATTTTACAAAAACAACACCATCAGGGTGAAAAACCTTCCTTAAACTTACTAATAAAACCATTGCATGGATAATATGTACTATTTTAAAATGTGTTTCTTTTACTTTATTAGGAATTATGTATTTTGTAATATCTGACCAGATTTTTGGGGAAAAAAGAATAAAGGGAATGCTTGTTTCCATTTAACCATTGCTAATCAGTACTGTCTTCAAGACCACTAGAAGTCTATAAGCAGATGTGTTTGATTTGAGTTGGAGCTAAACTGTGCAGGACACCGGCCCTCCAGAACCGAATTTGCCCACCTCTGGATATGCACACACAACCTCCAAGGGATATATTTCTGCCTCTGGGACTCCTCTGTGACCTCAAAACAGCAGGCTCTAGCTGTGAACTTATGTCACAATTAATAATCCATCTTTGCATTAAAAAATACATACTATTTAAAAATTGAATACTATTAAATTAGCTTGTTAATTTACTCAATCCTGTACATTATCTATATACAGGTCAACGCGACGCTGGCTGCTGCTGCTGCACTAGAAGCGTGACGCGCTTCGGGGTTGCGGATGCAATCGTTACGTTGACCGGAGCTCGGCCAATCATCGCCTTTGTTTATGCGTTCGGCGGGTTTATTCGACGTCGCGCGTTTGCTATCTGGACAGCTGCGTTATTATTGCGTCGCGTCGCATGCAGGGTGTTACTGCGCCACCGTTTATGAGTGGATTCTGCCGCATGGCCAGCGCATGAAAGACCATCTCTCGCGCTTCCAACTCCTTGCAGAACTGTGATGGAAACGGCATTCAAGTTGCTGTAAGCATATGTAACCTTTAGTGGCACAAGAGACGCAGAGGCAGTATTTCACATCAGCATGGCTGCGCGCGGGACGTGCGGTGCGCCCCTCTGTTCAGCGCGTCAATTCACGGAGAAAACGGGGAACATCTGACTCAGGTTAAACCTAGGGAGGATGGACAGCCGGACTGAGAATCCGACAAAGGCGGCAGGATATCTGAAGGAGCTGAATAAGATCATAGAGACCCAGCAGACGCTGCTGGAGCGGCAGAAGAGGCGCATCTTTGAGCTGGAGCAGCATGTGTCCGACCTGTGCGCCGAGAACAGCCGCCTGAGGCTCGAGTACCAGCGGCATCTGCTCACCTGCAGACTGCGCTCCATCCGAGAGAACAGCCCGGAGCAGCAGTAAGAGTCCTCTGCTCTGCACATACACACATGCTCATCTGCTTTTACACCACAGTCACTGCACGCATGCTCACCTGTTTTTTTTAATATTACATGATTGTAATGAGTATTTTAAGAATAAAATTTTGGGCTGTGCTAGGTTTAATATTGAGCATATTAGCTACTCCACTGCAGCATGACCAGAATTCTGTTTAAAGTTAATGTGGCGAGTCTGACCATAATGTGCACAGAAAACAGCTGGAAAACTGGTGCTTTACATGTGATTAAGACTGAGGGTTTTAGATAAATAAATAAATTCTGTCAGTATGTATAATATGAACAGAAAACAGCTGGGAAAATAGGGGATTTACATGTAGATTAGGATGAGGGATTTGAACTCAAGTAATAATATTAATCTTAAAACAAATAATAATAATAATAAATATTTCATTGTGTATAATATGGCCAGAAAACATCTGGGAAACCTAGAGCTTTACATGTAGATTAAGACTGAGGGGTCTGAATTAAAATAAATAAAAATATAAAATAAAATAATAATAATAAATAAAAAATAAATTCTGTCATTGTGTATAATATGACCATAAATTAGCCGGGAAAATAAGTGATTTCCCTTAGATAGGTGATTTAAAGTACATTAAGATAAAAAAAAAAAAAAAAAAAAAAAATATATATAT